TGGGCGACTTGGCCCCCACGGCCCTCACGCCTCTCAAGAAGAAGGACATGCCCTTGGACCCTATGGCCCTGGAAGTTCAAGAGTTCCTAGCGACCGTAGCTGCATGGAAAACACAACAAGAAAAACGAAGGCGCAAGCGAGATCTTCTAACATGCAATACATCTTACGATCCCCCACCTCTTGTCCCGCGAGTGTGTTTCACCAACTCCACGAAGTCCCTACCTGAAGAGTTCGACTTGTTGGAAGGAGGAGAACAACTTGGATTCTGGAGAAAGTCGGATCTCAGTGATCGAGCCCGAAGTGACCAAGCTTTCCTCGATGCCGCAATCATGAACGTACCTGCCCGCATAGTGGCTGACACTGGCGCCAACCTCAGTGTTATCCATAGACGAATGGCAGAACGTTTAAACTTGAAGGGGGACACATCCAAACGAATTGGTATCAATGGTCTCGGTCCGAACAGTGTCAGCACCTTTGGCATGGTGACAATCAAGCTTACCATCGCGCGCAGCATTGTATTTATCTTCAGCTTGGCAGTGTGTGATATCGGGCCTGTGGAGTTTGAAATGATACTCGGGATGGATTTCATGTCCAAGGCTGGCTTCGTCATCGATACCGGCAATCGAGAAATTCAGCTTCCAGATGGAGAGTACGTCCCTCTACTCACAGAAGGTATCAAGTACGAAACCTCGTTTCTCTCTTACGTCAAACTACGATACACTATGGAACTGGGCGCTGGTGAATTTATGACGATGGACCTCCCCAAACTCAACGATGCTCCAGTCAGTGGTGTGGAATACTGGGTGGATCGTTCAGCACGGTGGGTTCCCTCGATGTGTGCAGACTCGCATGGTGTTCCCTGTGCATACAAAGTGACCAACATCAGCAACAAGCTTCTCACTCTGTCAGCGGGGACTATCATTGGGGCCGTGGCCCAGGTTGGTGTACGACCACTGAATTCTCGCATGGTCCGCACAACGAGCAATCGATACAAGGAGTGGCAAGTTGATGTGTGGGAAGGGAGTGTGTCCTGCAAAATCCAACGAATGCTAAACCAAATGAGACACTTCAACCAAGCGTACGAACCCCCCTCCCCCCTCCCCCCTCTGTCGTGCACCCTTCATATCCGAGACCTACGCGCATCCTACGAAGGGGAAATCAAGAAGGCTCAGCTCCGCTTCCATCGATAACTGAAGCCGACTCGGATGCAGAAGATGTGAATAAACGGGACATGCGGGCAACCTCAGCGTTACCACCCAACCCGGCTGCCTCGCCTTGCCCCGTACTCCCGGGGCATCCAGGGGAGGCTGGGCAGGTTGAGCCCGTACTTACTATGGACGCCTTAACTGTTGCGCCTGATGACGCCATCTTTTCGACTACGCAACAAGTGCCTCCTACTTCGGATCTCGACGACTCGGATCCCGATGATTCCACTTTCATTACTCAAGCGTTTACCCTTTTGGACTGCTCTCCGCTTGTCGAGCACGATACAAAACCTCCTTCCCACGATCTGAGCCTTGATGAACATACGCCAGCACTGGTCACCTCTTGGTGGACAAAGCTCTCGACGGGACAATCTCTCGCATCGGCGTTTGCAGCGATATCGTCCATCCTTCTGCCACATACAACCCTCCCCAGTACCGATAGAAAGCAAGGACAAGGTACCCAGGGCGACCACCATGATGGCGATGATCCGATCCCTGTGGATGTGGCCAACTGTTTAGCTTTGGCTGCGCAGTCTGGCCAGGGTGGTGGTTGTGCGGGAAACAAGAGCGAGGACTTTCCATTGTCGGTGACCGCTGAGCCGATCCCCGCCGAAGAACCAGGGGGCCTAGGGAGCCCCGGAACCCCTGGAATACCAAGGAGTGTCGAACGAGCTGCACGACGCAGCCCTTCGGATTCAACACCAGCCAGGCAACCAGCCACAGAAAAGAAACCATTCTGACCGAGAAACGAGCGTGAAAACAACCAGGAGCCAACATCGCACACGGCATCGGGTTCAGATACCCCAGACGTTAGAGTACCCAGGGCACCCGGACCACATTGAAGAGGACAAGGATCAAACGCTACAGTCCATCGTCTTCGCTTACCACCAGTGCGATGTACATTTGAGCCTGTGCTGCCCTTCAATCTTCTCGCTGTCCACCTCCCCCGATACTATCGATCAATCGAGCCTGGCCCCCGAAGTCGTGGTGCACGAGGGGGTGGACATGTCCACAGAAGAAATGTCCTCACAACTGTCCATGATACCGGAGATCGTGGAGGACAATGAACCATTCGACATCACGCAGCTTGAAATTGGAGAATTGAGTATCTCAGATGAGCAACGAAGTCAGATGATCAACATCCTCAAAGACAAAGCCCCCTTCTTCATCAGCTCAGGAAATGGTCTCCCCCCCGCCGCCCGTGGCACTGTGTGTGACATCGATGTCGGGAATGCGAAACCTATTGCGGGGCGTACGCGCCGGGTCCGACCAGAGTACATGCCCAAATTATTCGACCTCCTGAAGGGCCTGATGAAACATGGGTTGATCGTGTTCTCAAATTAGCCCTGGGCCTCCCGGATTGTGATTGTACCTAAGAAGGGTGGCAACGACATTCGACTGTGTATTGACTATCGTGTCATCAATGATTTGACGGAGTTGATGCTGTCCCCAATGCCCACCTTGGATTCGATGTTGGCGGGTTTCGATGGGCTACAGTGGTTCCTCTCCTTGGACAATGCCAGTGGATTTTGGGTGGTGTTGGCCAGCTTACGTGCCCGACTAGTCAGTGCGTTCATCTGCCCTCTAGGACATTTTCAATGGACAAGAATGGCCCAAGGTCTCAAGAACGCCCCGATGATTTACCAGAGGATGATCACGAACGCCCTTTATGGATTCGTGGACATGCCGCCTGGTCTGAGTGATTTTGATGAAGATGGAGAGCCACGGGACATGTTCAAATTGAATCATACCTACGAAGACAAAGCCAACCTGCCCATCGCCAACCGAACTTCTTTTGCTGACGACATCGGGGATGGTGCACCAACTTGGGAGGGCATTGTGGAACTCACTAACCGCATCCTCACGCGCCTAACCTACTTCAACATCAGCCTTAGCGCCAAGAAGAGCACGTTCGGGAAGAGCTTTACAGAGTTCCTGGGCCACATCATCTCCAGTCGAGGGGTTTCAGCAAAACCACGGGGACTACAACAAGTCTTGGACATGCCCTTCCCCAAAACATTGCGTGAGATGCAGTCATTCACGGGTTCGTTGAATTTCTACTCTCGATTTATCGAAAACTACTCGATCAAGGCGGCGTGTTTGTACGAAATCTCCGACGAAGAATTCCGTGCCGGGCAAGTGTCGGAGACTGCGAAAGCTGCCTTTGAGGGGTTGAAGTATGCGTACTCGTCCATGCCAATCCTACGACACGCTGATCCGTCCAAGGCCTTCCACCTCCTGCTGTACGTCACGGACTGGGCAATTTCGACAACGCTGTGCCAAGAACATGGCGGCATTCTGCATCCAGTCCGGTTCTGCGGAAGAGTTCTCAAGGGTGGTGAACCACGAATGGCGAAGTGGGCGAAAGAAATCGTTGCATTGCTCCGAGCCCTCAAAGTCTGCTACTACGAGCTCGCGGGCAAACCACTCATAGTGTACACCCAGTACTCTGCGGCGAAATGGATCTTCACGGACAAACAAAATTAAACTGAACACCTTCATTAAAAAACTCCCCATATCACCCTGGGAACCCTGGGAAAGACGGGCAAGGCAATCCAGCGGACGACCCCGCCCTGATCATGCAACGCGACATTTTCGTCGCAATCATCCACGACAACATGGAGGCCCTGCAACGAGAGAGATTGCGAGTAATCAGCGAGGCACAAGATCAAGAAATCGAGCTCAGCCGGATGAAAGACTACTTGCGTGGAAATGTCGACCACCTGACCCCACAACTATGTCAAAAACTTGCGAAGCACGCGTACGAGTACGAGCTGGGGGAAGAAGGGGCGTTGTACCACCTGTACTGGCGCCATCGACGAGGACCAGACAAGACGATGAAGTGGGCTGTCGTCGCACCGAGGACCATGGTGGAGGCTATCCTGCAGGAGAATCATTCGAGCCTGGAAGGTGGGCACTACAAGCTGTTGAAGACGTATGAGAAGATCCGACCAAACTATTACTGGACGAACATGCACGCTGACATCAAGTTGCATATCAAGCAATGCGTCCAATGCAACCAAACAGCAGGTCCGCCAAATCACCACTTGCGAGCCCCAACCCCAGGAAACCTGTCCCCAGAATACCCCCTCCACATCATTGGAATGGACTTTGCCGTGAAGCTGCCCAAATCGAATCGGGGCAATACAACCTTGGTGGTGTTTCTGGACTTCTTCACTGCATTCCTGATGGTTAAGGCCATCCCTGATCGATCCGCCGATACCACAGCCAAAGCCTTTGAAGAAGTGGTGTTTAGACGCTTTGGAGTCTGCACGCAATTGAGGCACGACGGAGAAGCTGCGTTCATGAGCGCCGTGTTCAAAAGTTTCAATGAGATGCTGGGACAAGAGCAGATGCCAACATTAGCCTACAGACCCCAAGCGAACGGCCAGACGGAGCGGATTATCCATACCCTGTTCAGAGCCATTCGAATTTACTCTGAAGATCCAACTCGGAGGGACTGGGACGACTTTGCAGAACGGTTGGTATTTGCAGTGAACACATCCATTCCAACACACGACATGAGACCCCTTTACGAGACCCCTTTCTATCTCATGTGGGACCCTCAAACTACACTGTCAGCTGGCTTACCAACCACTCATACTGAGGGGGCCACGGCGAACTGGCGCTGGAGAATGAGGATGCAACGGCAATACTTGTACGCCCAAGGGTTGGCAAAGGATGTTATAGCTGAGGCCCAAGCCCTTCGAGCAGAAGACTTCAATTCCCGGCTGCCAGAAGATCGAGGCGAGCGATTACAACCAGGGGACGAAGTGTGGCTTTTCATCGACCAGGTGGATGCTGGAGTGAAGAAAAAGTTAGCGCATTTGTGGCACGGACCATTCCGAATCATCAAGAAGATCTCAAACTACGCAAGCCAGATAAGCCGAGTCTCAAGACGAGGGGGGAAGAACTACAGGTTTCACGCTGATGTCCATGACTCTCGGCTGAAGCTACGAAGGCAACACGAGTCACGTCCAACTGAGCTCGTTGAAGGTGTAGCGCCCATCGCGTTCGACGTCGAAATGATCCTCGACGACGGAGACTATGACGATGCAGAGGACGAACCACCAGATAACCCCGGGCCCCCAGACAACCCAGACAACCCAGACAACCCAGGCAACCCAGGCAACCCAGACAACCCAGGCAACCCAGGCAACCCAGGCAACCCAGTGCTCCCGGGGAACCCTGGGAACGTCGAGGAGGCGCCTGTACCGGCGGCCATAGCTGTGCCAGCGGCCAACACCAGCAACCCTACAACCCCCAAATCGATCACAGGCATAAGGGACGACCGGATGATAGAGCACCAAACACGGCCTTGGCAGAAGCAATATGAAGTGCAACTCGAAGGAAGCGACCAGTGGGTGTGGGTGTCTGAACATGCTATGCCAGCAACTCCCTTGCTCTACGAGTTTGAACGGGGCCGAAAGAACTTCGATCTACTGGCTGAGATGGTTTTGGGAAGAGAGCTTCGGGTGGAGCCAGAACTGCCAAGGGTTGATGACGACGAAGAGCTTGCTACCCCAGAACTAGAAATCGACCCAGTTCCAAGGGACCACGCCTACGAAGATGAAGAAAAGGAGTAGTGTTTGGATTCCCCGGAAAAGGGTTTGGAACCCCATCCCAACATCGGGGACACGCACCACTGCATCCAAATCCAAATCCAAGAAACAAACAAACAGAAGAAAACAAGAAACACCAAAAACAACGTGCAT